TTGGGTTAGTACTAATGCTCACTTTTTAGGTAGTAATCCTTGCCATTACAAATACATGCTCTCCCAGTAATTAGCCTCTTCCTGTAAATTGTAGTTAGTCATTTTTTGTGCACTGGCGTTATTTTGTACAGTGTTTAGCAAAATTCCATCCAGTCTTGATGTTGTATTTCTGTTGTTAAGTGGAGAACTTTACTCGCTTATCAAAAAGTGAGTTCCATTCTTGTTTTCGTTGAATGGTTTGATTTGATATGACTGGTGATTCTATTTTTGCGCCACTTATGTCTCTCCAAATGCAGGGTTAGTAAAATAGTTATGGGTCCTTACATCTGTGAATCACATTGTATAAAGCCTACACTTAGGATCACTTGAAGACAAAATATTAGGTCAGTCGGATCAATTTTAAGTGTAACCATAATGCTGCCCAAGCAGCTTATTTGGCTTACTGCACTGTTTTGCACCTAGTATGATGATGTGCCCATTGAGGTATCTTGGCAAGGTCAAATTCCAAGTAATGAAGTACTTTTATGACTGTATAACCTTGAAATGTTCTCTGTTATGTGTAATTCAATTTCTAAGAGGATCTGCATATGAAGGTGGAGGGGATCCAGGTTCATGCAGATGAAGGTGGAACCACACAAACACGTGGCGGCATATACTGGTTAATCTTGCCAGCCGGATGTAACTTCTTCATTCCTTGACTGCTTGCATAAAAAACAGATACCGGCACATATATACAGACACACAGTTACATAAAAGCAAAATTATATGAACATCACATTTCAATTACAGCCTTTTCACAATGTGCTTTAGTGAATTGTCTTATTCATCCGTGTACTAATATGTTGATTCATGCTGTTCTCCATATAAAATTTAAAACCTTGGATTCACTATCAGTTGTCCCTTCATGAGATTGACTGCAGTGTTATCAGAATTAATATTTGTTGTTGCACTGCAGATCTTGGGTCATCTTTCTGGGGAATGGTTTTGATACTAGCATCGACAAATCTTCTGACTGCAAGAATTGCTGCAGGATGTTTTGTCGTTGCTCTACTTGTTGTACTCTGTGTAGCTAAAAACGTAAGTATTCATGAACACCTAAAATATCTTTTCTTGTTTTTGATATTTTATGGATAGATGCTAGATTGCATTTGCAAGGTCATTTGGAATTCAATGAGATACTCTTTTTAGTTAATGACAGAATAGAGTCATTTCATTGCAAGTAAAATCAGAACAATTTCATAAACGATTAGCCTGCTTATACTTTCAACTGCATCAACACACATTATGTCACACTATTATTATTCTATATGTTTGCATGGCTCTTGATTATGTTTTATGTTGTTTTGGCAGTGGACGCTAAGGGGACTTTGTATTGGTATGTCTTTAAATACCTTGAATAAATATGGCTGATATAACATCTGAATAATGTTAATCTTTATGTATTTTGAGATGTCAGGATTTGTTATTTTCCTTGGTGTGGTTTGGGTTCTTCAAGAAACAACAAAGATTCGTATACTTCAGTACATAATTCTGTTCATTGGTAAATGCATCTGTCTTGTCCCCTTTTTGACTTTTTTTTTTCCTGAAATTGGAATATCATGCCAGTTTTTTTATCCCCCCTTTTAAGTGTGATCAGACAATGCTATTCCTTACTGCAGGTGTAATGAACAGCTTGTTTTCAGTCTATGGTATGGTTCTGGAGCAAGAAAAATTGAATCTGGCGACCAACATGTCTGTTTTATAACTACTGATTCTGTAGTCTGTATTTTTTGATGATACAGATATATATGATGACCTCATATCTCGTAGAGTTCACTCAAGTGATGCCGAAAAATTCGCAGAAGTGTGTCCTTGTCCTTGCAATGGTGTTGGCTGGGGTGTTATCTGGTGAGAATATTGAAGTTTATGGAGTAATTATTGTTGAAATTTGAAATACGCATGAAGATTACTTTATTTCCTTGTTTGTTAAGATTTGACAAGCAAGATTTTGTTGAATCTTGTTAGGTTGTCTTGTCTCCTTAATTACAAGGAATTTCTTATGGCAGGGGTTTAATATCATTCTTATTTCTTTGTGGAGCAATGTACCTTGGTCTTGTAATATTGTCTTGAGGTAAACTCTGCTTCCATAGTTAATTATCTCAGTTACTTCAATTAGCTTTTCATCCTGTTTATGCATGAATTTATAATGGTTTTGCAAATATATGGCATTCTTTGGGATGACCACAGATGTTACAGAAAATTTAAATGGAATATAGTTTTCAAGGAAATTAAAGAGATTCCATTGAGTACTACATTAAAATATATGACTTCAAATAATACATGAAGCATATACTGAAGTGGTGTGAATGTCCAGTGAGTTCATTAGAAGTTTCCCATTCTTTTCTAAACTCTTTCTCTTTCTAACTTCTAAGTGTGACTCAGATGGTTTTTCGTAGTTTAGAATGGTCCATGATCAATCAAAATGTATCCAATCTCTCGTTCTCCAAGATTACACCTTAACATTATGTATGATATATCAACCTATAATTATACTGCCATGAGCCAGCCGAGCTAAACCGTGCATGGCAATCCCAGCGAGATGTAGTGTGTGTTTCCTCTCCGGTTTGAAGCTTTTCAGCATAGCAGGTTCCACATGTTGGTCAGATTGCATATATTTAAGGATTAGAAGTGGTTTGGTGATTTGAAAACACCACGTAAACACATTGTAGCTGAGAAAGTAGCAAATCCAAGTCATTTTGGTCATCCATGTTCCCTTTGATTACAGTTTTAATGCATATATGCTTTCATCAAATGCTGACTTTCTTTCCCGAATCTGTGTAGGAAGCTATACTTACCGAGAACACTGGAGAATTGGCCTGTTTGCAATCCCATGCACTTCCTGAATTCGATTTTTCATTTTTTTGCACAGAAAATTCATGGCCAAAAGTGAAGAGATAAGGCCTAATTGATTTATTATTATTATTTTTTCAAAATTGATATTTTAGTATCAATCAATATAACATCATTCAGACCTGAACACTCATAATCCCAAGAGTCCTTGCCTTGTATAAAGGTCTGGAAACACGGTTAACAAGCCTAAAGGTCAGGATTCAGGTCTGTTCTCCAAACACGATAAAAAAGATCACAAACCAATTAATCCTAGAAGTGCAGTGGACTCATCAACAGGAACTGCAACTGGGAACAGAGTAGTAATACAGTCTGATGCTGTTTCTGTTGTGCAGGGGAAATATATTGAATGATCTCGGGATATAATAGCTAGCACACAACCTTGCTGACGGGATACAAAACAAAGAATTAAACAATCACAGGTTATAGCAGCTAATATATTTGATCTTGTGAACCTAATCCTGTTAAATTCTTAGATTCTGGTTACTTCAATGTATTTGCTCCAAAATGAGAAGAGGATAATCCTAAATAAGGTCATAAATCCCCATCATATTAGTTCAATAACATGCATGAGAAGTAAATTTATGAACCAACAAATAACCTTTAAAACTCATAATCCTACATCGTTAAATGCAATACCACATAACACAAAATACGTCATATAAAGGAAATAAATCCATCAGCATGACACTTTCCTGCTTGCCTTGCAACTCATAAATGTCAAAATTTTAACTACTCCCCACCAAAAGCAGTTTTTGGGGAAAATAACGGAACAGATGGTGCCACAACACTTAAAAAAGGAGTTCTCTATGCCTCTGTAACTGGGTACTCAAACACAACATCTTTGCCAGCAAGCTTCCGGTAAACTGCAGCAAAGGTCTCAAGTTTATACTCAGTGTTGTTTCGTTCTTTGGGGTCCAAAAAGACCTGCTCATGAGTGCAAAGAATGAATACACATTAGCCTCCACAAATATAATGATCTCCGAAAGATGATAATAATCATGATAACAAGACCAATTAAACCCCCTGTATATAAAGTTTCTCAAGATGACAGTTCTTCCATTCATCACTTTAAAACTTTTCATAAACATTTAGCAACCTAGTTCTAGTATTACTAATAAAATATTAGCAGTGCTGTACCTTCATTATCTTTGATCCATCAATTCTGTATCTAATGCGCTTTCCTACAATCTCTGCAGGTAAGACAATATCCTCTAGCATTGCCTCATGCACAGCAGTCAATGTGCGGGTACGTGGCCTCTGAACAGCAGAACCTTTCTTTGGAGGCCTCAATATCCTTCGGGTGGCAATAAGAATCACATCCTACCAGATATACATGAACTTAGTTAAAACCAAAAGATGTGCATATCAATCAAACCAATCAATAACCATCATATTAAGTATTAAATATAAATTAGTAGAGCATTAAAGCCAGATCAAGCAAAAGGATTCACCTTAACATTTACATTTATGTATGATAATACAATAAAAACATGATTAATTCTCTTTTTCTTGCATAATTGCAATGTATCAGCATCTGGAACAATTCCATTGATTATAGTGTCTCATGCAAAGCATGTGCTTTTTCGTTAAAAGGTATTGCATTTTGTAAATTCTAAGCTAGAAGACCTAATTCAAATTTTCATTCAAACTGAAGGACAGTCTTCCCTCTCATATTGTTTCATTATAGAGAAAGAACAAAACTTAAGAAGAATGGAATAGCTAAGTCCTTTCCTCACCTTCCCACTGAACTTCTTCTCAAGTTCCCTCACAAGCTTAACATGAATCTTGCGAAAAGCCTTTCTCAATCTGTAGGGGACATGGATAACAACAGCCTTCCGGCTCCCAGAGACATCAATTTGACTGCATGTGAAAGAAGTTACATGAATCATTTGATAACCAAGGACATGAGACTTTAAAATTAACGCATCCCAATGAATCCTTCTTACACTGCTGAATTAATGTAGAGATCTTTGAGTTCGCTCTTCAGATCCTGGTTGGTATTCTCTAAATCAAAGAATGCCTGATATAAACATACATGCACATGTAATCAAAACCAAACTCCTTCAGATTTCCAGAAACTTTTCAAGTGCAACAAACAAAAGAATATTTCAATACCTGGGCAACCGACTCCTCGAATTCTGTTGGTTCAGCATCCTTATCTTTGTGGATCTTCTTCCTTGAAGTATACATCTTCAAGATCTGCATTGCAGGAACAGAAAAAAGTCAAAATGCAATTATCAAATGAGAAAGATAGAATGTAGCTTACTACAAATCAGACTGAGCTAGCAATTGGATCAAGTATTACTATCCATATACAAATTAGAAAGGCCTTCCTAATTTCACTAAACATTTAAGAAACTAAGATCCAGCTTTTGATTCTATCACTCAATTTATGATGTATAAAAACTGTTATATCCAATTTCACGATTCAATAACAAGTTCAATACTTTACAAAGTTCTCAATAAGGTCAAATTCCATGCTGCATCATAAAAAAGCAAATAAATAAATCTTTCCTTAAACAAAGTATTTTTCATACATCATTGTCATAAAGCAATTAGTCTTAATACAGAAAGAGCACAACCTGCCCACTTCGCCAGTACATTACCTGTAACCTGACATAAATCTAACTGATTCCAAATGATTGTTATTTATTGTTTACAATAACAATTAACAATGCAAAATTTTGCATACATAACCCCCAAAATTCAGTATTTTCCACACATTCCATTGCATGCCAAGTGAATACAAAACGAAGGCAAAAGACAAAAAAAAATCAAACAAAACCAGCTGCCCTACACAGCTTTTATTAGCTAAGAAAATAACATATATTCAAATATATAACATTGGAAGATAAGAACCCTAAAACCCACATTGAAAGTCTAGAAACAAATATAAATTATTAAAACGAACATCAGAATCAGATCATAACAACAGTTCTTTTCGCCTTTCCTACAGTTTCTCAGCATATAAACAGAGCACAGAGAATTAGAATCTCTTGGAATAATAACAGTAATAGAAAGTCAAGGCCCTATCACTCCGTTTGGCTTTACGAAAGAGAAACAAAGAGAAATATCTTCATCCTCTTATCTTTTCCTGCATTTTCCAGGCAACCAAGCAGGTTCCAGAAAATTGAAATGGTACCTGAAAGAGAAGCGAAAGATGGAAGAGAGGATGAACAAAGTGTGAGAGGCTCTCCCTTCGATTTGGCAGATCACTAAAAACCCTAGGGTTTCAGTTCAGCCAAATTGGACTTTATATAGCGTAACATTAAAGGCCACGATTTTGCAGGTACACGTGGACGGTAGTAATTTAGTTTAAGGATGACCTCTTTTTATTTTTAAATCTGGGCCGGATTTTGGATTATCTGGTTCTAATAGGCCTACGTTCTGATCTTGAAGTCATTTTGGGCCATTTTTGGCCCATTTGCATTCAGTTCCTCGTCTACCATTAAGGCAATGGGCTACTTGGGCCATTATTTATCAGCTATGGTAGGCTATTATTACTCCAGTATTAATTGAGAAAAAATGAATTTAAATCTATTTTTTGAATAAAATATGCATACTGGGAATCAAGCTTCGAGCTATATTCCTTACTATTAACCGTAACCATTATCAATTAAGTTTAAGATATTTCGAACATATGAATATAATAAAAATTATCCTATCTTTTTATCAATTAATTTTAAATTAATTATCCTATTCATTGCCTCCTCCGTAATAAATTTTTTATCTCATGTCACACAATAAACTAATTATTTTTACAAACGATGTTTATGGTACGTGATAAAAGGGACAGATAGAAGGCGATGGCAAGAGATGGTGATAGTCACCTCTCAATTTTATATTATAATTTAATTTTATTTTAAAAGTGATTAATTATTATTTTGAATCGAATTATTGACTTGATTTAAGTTTTTATATGATTAATATTTAATCACTTTTTATGCAAAATTTTGAATTTGTCACTACATGATAGTTCTATTATCCTTACACGTTAGAGGAAAGCAATTTTAAGTAGCAGTTTTAATAGTAAAACCATCTGTTGTGAATCTTTTAAGTAAAGCCCTAAAAGTTGCAATTAGCATCTTTGAGTCGACATCTAAGCTGCTGTTATGCTATGCACAAGGCACACACCTAAGCTCCCATTTCAAGCAAACCAGGACAAGCAATGAAGGGATAAATCCAAGAGAAATCAAGAAATTAGAGATGCAATCAGCTCGAGGAGATCAGATGAATTAAGGAATATTTTAACCTTTGATTACATTGATTTTGTTGTGTATGTAACTTCCCAAGTATATTGCAATCTTCAAAATTATAAATATTGAAATCTTTCCTTTTTCACCTTAAGCCAGTCAAATGAAGCATAAACAAGTTCATTCTTTTCTCAAGCACCATTTGCCTTTAGAGCTTACCTTCTTGCTAATGGTTCTTCCTAAGTCTAGTACCATTGTTGATAGTAAGGAGAGTACAATGGTTAATTAATTCAGCAGCAAATTATTCTACTGCTAACCTAGGACAGCTTGGAAATGTGAAGACTTGTCTTCGATTGTTGGTCATTGCTCCCAAAGCCCTCCATTATTAGCTGGTTTCCCCTCCCCTTTTTAGCCTTATGCGTGTAACTTCATTGTATCCCTTTTGGAGGTGGCCCTCCTGCTTGGAACCGCTACTAGCTAGGTTCATATTTCTCAGATCACCCAACAACATGAAAAAAAGCTGTAGCCACCTTGTCATGTCCCTTTCTACTCCTTCTAATTCTATTCATTGATCATGTGTAAATTTCGACCTTGTTACTGTATAGATATTTATTTAGAGTATTTATTTTATTTCAGTTTCCGTCAATCAATCTAATCAAAAATTATAATATTATATTTCATACAAGAAATCAATTGATAAACGGAACAACTTAATCATTGAAAAACTATAACACTTAATGTAGATGAATTTAAATATTTGACAAACCATATCATTTGACATGAACCGGCATGCCAAAGTCCTCAGGGCTAGAAGTCATGCACAAACTATATCCTACGACCTACGAGTGTGTACGAGTTGGCCACGTCCAAATATCAAACATTTCATTTACCTGTTGCTTTCAAGCGTTATATACGTATTCAACGATTGATGCAAGCAAAGTCCCCGAAATGGAATTATCGGAGGTGAAGCGAAAGGAGGTCAGTTTCAACAGTGAGTTGCAAAACGAGCCCCTTTGAAGGGTATTTTTTGATGATGTATGGCCCCTATGGACCCGCCATGAGATATCGAGATCAGCCGTCGTGATCAGGCGTGGAGCTAGGGAATGGCCCTAGCTTTGGGAAAAGACGCCGAAAGGAAAGAGAGTTCGGGCTCTCCACGCATCTACTCGACTGTGACTGAACAGAACCAAAAGATGACTGGAGAAAAGGGTGATGGATCAGCTCCAGGCTGAAACTGGGCGACGAAAACTTGTTAAGACTTCCAAAGTTCCACATAAACTACATGTGCTCCCCACGTTCATACCCTCGCTGCTGTGTTTCAGCTGTCTTACAATGTGTATAGTAACTTCATTTTTGTCTCCCAACGTAATAAATAATAATAATAATTTTATCTTTTTATTTTAAATCAAATAGATTTATATATAATTAATAATCAATTAACTATTATTAATCAAAATGCTATATCTGTCATTTAATCTTATACTTATATGGTACTAACTTGGAAGATGAAACTATTGCATGACTGCACTATATATCATGCTACATTATGATTAAAAACTGTTAATTATAAAATTTATTTAATTAAAAATAAAAATATGAATGTTTGACTAAACGTAAAAAAAAATTTTTATTTGAATTTTTCAAAATATTCCAAGAATTTTTTGAGGTATTATGTCAATTTTATAAATATAAGATTGTTGACTAGTTTAGTATTTTTTAAAAAAAAATTGTAAACTTTTTAGGAATCTTTATCTATAGAAGTTGTATTTTATTTTTAAAAAAAAAGAACTTCAAATTTGAAGTGTCATGATTGTTAAGTTTCTGTAAAGATATAGTGAATTATTACTCATGCAGCACGTTTTGCAGACAATTGGAGCACGGATTTCTACTTTCAAATTCACGACAATGCTCTTGCTGGCTCCACCCTTTTGTTAGGTCTACCCCTGGGAGAAGCATTTCTTTGTCAGAGACTTCACATCTTATTAATCGCAATTATTGCATGGTTTTAGTGTTGCCAAATGCAAACCCATGATTATTTTATTGTTTCAGAATTGTTTTCATTTTATTTCTGTGAATCATATTCGATTTAATATTGTTTGAGTTTCAAATGCACTGCCAATTGGATTTCTCATGGCCATTAACTTAATGTCCTGACAAATTGGTAAGCAAAGAGGGAATTCATTGATTTTGAACCCCAAGCCTTCTCATGTCCTGCTTGTGTGTCACATGTTGGAAAGCAGCTTTAATCTCCAACCATTTGAGATGATGCACATGGAACATGCATCTTTTCCAATCCAAACCAGAATAATATAAGAACAAAGACATGCCACTACTCACCCCTTTGGGTTGTACTTGGTGTATTACAGCTACATCTGCCTTCCACTCCCACCACATATCTAAACTTGTCCTTGTCATCATTTATCAAAGCTTGTTTTAGCTATGGATTTCTTTGATCAATATCTCAATTAACATTAAGAAGAAATTGTCATCAAAATTAAATACTAGCTCTAGTCGGCAAGAAATAACATACACTATAAGACTAATCTCATTCATATCGTCTAACCCTAACGAACTAATGATATTATATTATAACTCTAATTAGATAACTCGTACAATTATCTTAATAACATACTTAATCATTAGATTAAAGGCTGCAATTAATGTTTAATCTTTTGTTTAATAGATGTCAGCAAGATTACATGTGAAAGTACTACTTGCAGAGTACTTCTTATAGCTTATATTCCACTTTAAAGGACATTTGCACAATCCAATCAAATTCTTTCCGACCTAAGAATATATTCTCCATATAAAAAGATACCTCACATGGAACAGTAGAATACACTGGAAAGAAAAATTTTTCTTTGAACTTGGTTGGAGAGGGAGTTCCATTTTGTTGATAAAAGAATGACCTGACGACAATCCATCTACTAATATCAGTCTTTTCCAGTGGTCACAACCCATGTCAGAAGAGCTTTTTAGGGCTATCATTTTTCCAAGGCTTGTTTTGTTTCTGCAAGAGATGTGGAATGTTGCATGAATTTCATTTATGAGAGGGAAGAAGAATCTGCCAATTTCCCATCATGGATTTGTGGCGCCAAATGCGAATTTGCTTTGCTATATCTTCCCTTGGTCAAGATTAGTTAACCGACTAAATTCCTTGGTTGATTTGTGAAAAAGAAATGGGGCATGTGATGAAAAGACTCTATGCAAACCTCTTGAATGGGCTGTTTGACTTACCTAAATATAGCAGCAAGCAAGGCTTAAAGATAAGGTGGAATATGGGTATCATCCAGATAATTATGACCTAGCTAGCTTCATTCATACGCACTAAGACCAGGAATTCCTTTTCCATGTTCCCAGTCTGTAAAGGGCTGAATATTACTATCAAGGTTCCATTTTGATGGAGATCTCCTTCTACATTTCAAGTTTTAATAGACTATTCATTAGTATTTATATGTATGAGATTCAATCATTAATTAATCGTAAATTTTAAAAAACTTATGATGATATAAGTATATTGAAAAATAATGTATTGGAAAAGTTTATTGAAAAGTAATTAAGAAACATTTATATTTTGAATGGAAGTATGAAAAATTGAATAGTGTAAGATAAAAACAATATCTGTATATATTAAAAAGATTATATCTCAATTGCAAGGAAGAGATTTTGGAACTTTTAAATTTTAATTGTCATCATTTGTATGTCTTGGTTGGTTTTTAATTTTTTTCTATTAAAAGTTATAATTTGGATTAGGATGATTATCCCATTATTTTTTATTAATTAATTACATAAAAATAATTGTTTCAAGCCCTTGATAAAATTTTCTCGTTAATGAATAAGTAATTACCGTGAGACGAATATTTTGATATTCTGAATAAAATTATTTATTTTTTTGGAAAAAAGAAAGATCATGTGTTCTATATATATATATATATATATATATATATATGGGTTGATGGTAAAGAAGTGGCTTTAAATAAAGAAGAGAGAGACAGAGAGAGAGAGAAGAATTTTCAAACAAGAGAAGCTGCCTTTCTTATCATCAGCTGGAGATTGATGACAAAGTATTTCCCCCATTTATCAAACACATACAGCTGCTAAGCTCATCTGTTGAAGGTTTCAAACTTTGGTGGGTCAGCCAATTAGAGCCCATATTTCCCCAAAGAAATTCTTGTTTCCTAGAATTGGCTCAAGCAAGTTGGTAGGAATCTGTGGGATTAAACTGAATTAAATATTTTAGAGCTCCAAAAAGGAATACAGTGTGGCTCTCCAAAATCAAACATCAAATGAAATAAATAATCTGCCACTCTATCTTTCCTTGAAATTTAAATCCAATTGACCTTTGCTGACCCAATCATTCATTTTCTCACCATCCAACCACATTTTTTTAATTATAAGAGAAAATCAACATATTATATTCCCATCAGTGGTGAATTATTTGTCTAAAGATTTTTGGGCAAATGCCAGCTTTGGCATTGAGCTTTTGTCAGTATTCAATTTTGTCACTCATATTTAACTTTTATGTTGATTAATTAAAAGTAAAATTTTGTAAAGTAAAAAATCAAATACTCTATATATTCTTAAAATTCTGTACTACTTTTATGGCTGAAAGGGCATATTCATTGGAATATTCTCAACAAGTATTAGTACGAAATTCCATCTTTCTGACGTGCTTGTGGTGTGCATATGAACAATTGGCTCCATGAATCGAATTCATATCCTTCTTTTTTCAGAATAAAAGACATATATATATATATATATAGACATAAATTGAGAAACTTTGAATCCACAGTTGCTGTAACTTATCGACAAAAACTTAAAATAGAAAAAAAAATAATATGAGATGTTATGAGACAATTAAACTCAGGAAATCAACCTGTCAAAAGCCAATGAATGAACTATTGGTGAACTGTCAAAAACAAAAACATGACAGGGTTCCCCTTCAATTCAAGTTCCTAGGTTCCCACAGTTCCCCCATGCTCCATAGGTCATCTGCAAAACCATTGCTAAACCAGTTGTTTTCTGCCATGTGGCAATCGCCAACCGGGTTCGCAAAATCCCCAGGTGCTGATGTGGATGCCAGGTTGATGGTTTCCATGTCATAGTAGCAATCCTTTGCAAGTGTGTTGTTGTAGTCATTGTTACCAATGATGCGAAAAGGACTCGTTTGGTATTCTGCAAATTGAGATATTTGTGAGATATTATTCATGGATTCTGAAGAAGAAACACACGAACTTGCACAGTGCTCTGAGTCTGAATTCTGCTCCTGATGATCCAAATTCTGTATTGCTTCACTTAGATTACCAGGCCCCTGCCCTGGTACTTGTTGCAGCGTCATTAATGCTTGATGCTGAGAAGCTTGGTCTAGAGATTGAAGAACTGTTGTGTTTTCGGATGCCATGGATGAAAAAGAGGATGACCCTTCCATCTTTTGAAGCAATCTTGGTATCCAAAAACACCGAATAACGTTTTGAAATGCTGTGCTATTCGGATCGACCTTGAGATGGCGCGCCTGTTTCTGCACACGGGTTCTCCAGTAATTCTTGATCTCATTGTCCGTTCTTCCTGGTAAATGTTGTGCGATCTTGGACCACCTAGAAATCACAAAAATAAAACCATGTCATGTTCGATCAAATAACGACTCTGTCTGAATATAAACTATGACTATATAAGTACTACATGGATGAGCTACAGCTTCACAGAATCTGCTAGGCCTTGACAGGCAGGCTTGAGTTTTATGAAGGTGGTCTGTGCCAAAGAAAGGAAGGAGGCAAATGCTTCCAAGACCAAAACATTCTGTGGCAACAAACTTGCGAGTACTAGAAACTTGGGAGAGATAAGAATCACGTAATGTCATTGCATATGTTGCTATTGTTTCGTAACCTCTAGGCTGCTCTCTGTCTCTATCCAAAATTGCAGAGTATACTTTATGTCATGTTGATAGGCTCTCTCAGAAAGCGAAATAAAAGTTGTAAAAACCCAAAAAAAAAAAAACAAAAAACAAAAGAAGAAGAAGAAGAAGAAAAGACTACCTGTTTCCCCACTTAGAATGGAGGCTAAGGATCAAAAACTGCTCTTGTGGAGTAAGGTTTCCACGTTTAACATCTGGCTTCAGATAATTTAGCCATCTCAGCCTGCAACTCTTGCCAGTTCTCCTTAGGCCTATAAGCCACAAAGGAAAAGAACAATTTATTAACACATAATAGATTTTCCCCAGGATTTTGTAGTTATCAGCAATCAGATAGTGATTGGTGACTACTGGACTACTGGTTAAAGTTACCTGCACGTTTTGCAAGCGAATTCCATCGGCCTTCGCCATGGCGAGCAATATAATGATTGAGGAGAGAGTCCTCCTCCAGAGTCCAAGGCCCTCTTCTGAGCTGCTCAGCATCATCTTCACTAGAACTTGTACTACTTTTCCTTAAGGATGACATGCCTCTATCTGACTAAAGACTGAGAAACTTTGAGTCTTGAACCTCAAGTGAATTTATAACTCCCAGCCAAGGCCAAGATTTATATACTACTAACTTCAAAACCTCACCAAACTTACTGTACTTAATTAACAACTTTCAAAATGAGTAGCTGCATAAGTAAACATCAAATGGAGTATCCTCGGATAAGTCCCTGACTCCAATTTAAGACAGAAAACTTTGGGATTTACCTTATGTATAGAAAGGGGAACTAGTCGACATAAACAGTAGGATGCCCCTAGCTTGAATTCCTGGTCAAAGAAAGGACCCCAATGCATTGATCTTTCCTACCATCTGACCAACTCATCCCAGTCCCTTTGGCCATCATAAAAGAGAACCAAATTTGAATTGCTAGAAGAAGAAAACAGTTGACAGATCCTATTATGCATACACAGTTGACAAATGGCCAATTTTCTCCCCTTTTTATGAACCAAAAAAACTAGAGGAAAAAGAATAGGTTTGCTTGTTGAAAATGAAATTAATTGGTGTTATGGGAAATGGGTTTGATTCAGTCCCTAGCATCCATCATCATATTTTGCTCTAGATGCTCCAAATATGCTGATCATGAAACGTGCTTGACTGACCAAAGTATTTCTTATAACCGGCGCAGAGAAAAACGTGGGTAAATTGGTGTTAGCCAAAGGATCCTATTCCGTTACGAGGAAGCCAAAAGCATCACACTCTCTTCTTTTTGCGCGGTTGTCAGACTTTGCGACAACAGTGATATTTCCTATGTGGTTCCAGTTTCTCTATGTTCCAGACAAAGACATCCTAAAAGTTACGTGCAACTTCGTTGTGGAAAAGTCTGCTAAATTTCATTTTGTCAGTGCAGCTAATTTTGACTATAAAATGTACTGCTCCTCCCAATCTTATGTGCCGCTGTATCTTCTTCCCCTGCTGTGCACCAATCAGGATGTGGATTGGACTCGGATTGGCTAACTCTTTCCAAGTAAAGGTATATTGACAGATCAGTTCCCACCTGCCAAACTCTCTTTCTCTCTTTGGGTTTATTGATGTGGTTATAAAAAATATTTTTACATATTTTAAATATGGGAGGAATTGTTACTCCTTCCAGTCCGTTAAATAATTTTTACATTGGGAATATCTTGAGTATATAAATAAAGTAAGAAATTTTTCACTTATTGTTAATTAATTGTTTTTAAGTCGAATGTCTATCTTAATTAAAAATTCAACGTAATTCTTGAATTATTCCCTAACCCCTCATTTTTAGTATAATAAGGATACTTCATTATTAGGCAAAATTTTTAGTCCTGCTGAGCTTAATTATCCCATCACTTTGTGGTGTCTTGTCATTATACAGAGAGACCAAGCCAAAATTAAAGAGAAGAAATCAATAAATAATTGTCTTATTTTGGTGTGAGAGAGTGCAAACAAATGCTTGTGTGATGGGTGATCTAAAAAGTTAAAGGTTGGGACTTAGGGTTTAGACCATTTTCGTATACAATGAACGCAATCAAAGCATTGCTAAGAATTAACTTAAACTAATCAGTGGTGGGTGAAAAATAAGCAAACATCCAACTTGGATATAAAATCACAATAAATTTAAAAAATGAATAAAAATGAAATAACATCACTCAACAGCTCTCCTCACCTATTTTAAGAAATACGACAAATTAGGTGAATAAACACATAAAAAGTAATACCCATAAAAAATATTAAGGATTCAATTTAGAATCAATTGATAATAAATAAAAAATTAATTTAAATACAAATCAAAACAACATGAAATGGCACTATTTTTTTTTCTTTATGGATGATGTTGCTTGTATAAATAGCAATTGTTGTTATAATCAAATTTTACACCTCATATAATAAATTACAGAATAGATAAATTAACCAACAATTAGCATATAACTGAACAAATCTAACATAAGATTGGATTAAACCCATACTTGATAAAAATATGATCAGTTATGGCTTTGGTTTTTTCCATATTTTTTGCAAGAAAAAAAATCACAATCTATTAATTTTATGAAATTTCTTCTAACCAATGAACTCATCATTGAAATTAACTTGGCAATTTGGTGTTAAACTTTTGATCTTCATTCACGGTATACAAATTCCTGTAATTATTGCGACGATGACACATTGACATGGACATGGATCAAGGATGACTACATTGAGTAAAACATAAGGAATCACAGATAAGCAAGAGAAATTCATTTGAAAGTGGCAAGCTGCAGGGTCAGAGAGAGAGAGAGAGAGGGTTGATAGTATTGACGATGATGGTAACGACAATGACGATGATTTATAGTTTAACGAGTAATAAGAAAGACGAAGACTGTGCAAGAATGTGTGACGATACCAAAAGGGTGAAGAAGAAGAAGATAACGCGTGATTAACGGCAACAATCATGATTGGAACATTCAACCATTAAATATGTATTGCAGGTCGTTGAATAATTCACACGCAAGACCAAACAATTTCTTGCATTTTCTCCATCAAAACTTATCTCCATTACGCCTTTAATTAAGTTTTAGATTCCAGTTCCATCATGCCTGTGAGGATATTATTTTTTAACAAATGATCAATTATAATATATATATATATATTGAAAGTTATTTGATTGTAATTATAACTTGTAACTATAAATGTGACTTTAGAAAAAAAAACAATTACAACTTTTCTAGCTTTATTTTGTTGTTTATTTATAGACTACCATGTTTATTTCTTTTCAATTGTTTGAGACGAAAATTTTGAATTTGGAACTTCTCTTCGTGGAAGAGATGTGCAACTTATTAAAACATTTTTTCTTTCAAAATAATATAAATATAAAACTAATTATTCAACTACTTAGTGACTTGGATATATAAAATGCTTTTAGTTAGAAACAATCCAAAGCGAACCCACTTTTATTGAAGTGGTATCAGCTGACACCACTCAATTGTTAAATATCTAGAGTTTTATGAAGCTAATGACATTAATGAATTCTTATTAACTTTTTTTGTAATTTTGTAAAGAATGAGGTCAAAAATTCAAAGTTTAAATTTATCAAAAAATAATTTATATACTATTATTTAAATACTAAAATATAAAAAAAATTCTTCAATAATTTAATATTTAAAAAAAATCAAAACCTAAATTGTTCTCTTTTTACCTCTATAAAAATTCAAGTCTTACTTTTGAGAGCGGTCAACATACTGGAAAGATCCTTATACCTATGCTTTTTGTTCAATTTAATCTCTTTATTCTAATTTGAAGCAATTTAACTCTTTGATTTTGAGGAGTGCTCTAATTTAGTCCCTCCACTTAACGACATTTAATTTAATCATTAAATAAAATGAAGTCAACACTGGCATGGTGGTGTACGGTAAGGACATGCTGGCATAACATTATCACATCACCCTCATATGTTGACGTGGTAGTGCCACATCATCCTTTTAAGTTCAAGTTGTTGATTTGGTAATGTCACATTAGTATGTCAAGTGATGTGGCAATGCTGCGTCAACATTAAGACTCAAGTTATTAACATGGTAGTGTCATGTCAGCATATCAAAATGGCATGACAATGTCACGTCAGCATTAAAGCTTAAGTTGTTGATGTGGTAGTGCCACATCAGCATGTTGTTGTCACGTGACATGTCAGGAGGTTACCACACATTAGCAACTCGAGTCTTAATGTTGACGTAACATTGTCATGTCACTTTAATATTAATGTTGACAAGGCATTGCCACGTCAACAACCCAAACTTAAAAGGATGACATGGCACTACCACGTCAGTTTCACATGTTGACATGGTAGTGCCATGCCAGCATGTCGTTACCCTACATTGCTACGTCAGCATTGATGTTATCTTATTTAACGGTTAAATTAAATACTGTTAAGAGGAGATATTAAATTGGAATAATTTTCAAAATTGAAAGATTAAATTGTTTCAAATTGGAGCAAAAGGACTAAATTGAACAAAACACATGGGTATAGGGATCTTCTCGATATTTTGACCTTTGAGATCTATAGTGACATTTCCTCTTTTCGATTTTTATTTGCATTTTTCACTCTCTCAAAGTAACTCATTTAGGCTTCATGTGTAAGTAATTTTTTTAAATACTTTATGTGTAAATATTTTTTGATTAATTTAATAGTTTGGCACTCAAATAGAATCTAACTAATAGAAAATAGTATTGTATGTCAAATAATATTTTGAATTATGAATAATTTCTCTTTTTTATTTATTTTGTAGATGTATTGTTTGATCATTTGATTTTTGTCTTTAACTTTATATGATTTGTGGATGTTTATACTTAGTTTTAATCCATGAATAGATATTTGTTAAATTATTAGTTGTTGAACTTGATAATTTGTTATGTAAGATCATATTTTATTTAATTTTAATATTTTGGTTTATAGTAGTGAGAAATGAGTACTAATTTTGAACAAGTTTTTTGATAAATAAGTCATGAAAGGATATTTTAAAATACCAAAATATCTCATAAGACTTAATTAGTTTTTGGGCAACAATAATGTAGTTCTACTTATGATGGTAGTCGACAATCTTCTAAGAAAAATCGTATTAAATTTGATTTAAGTACTTTCTGCTGATTTGGATTAAGGAAAATTTTTTTAATTATTATTATTATTTTAGTTATTATATGACTTAGAAAAATTTATAGATCCAATGGTTGGCCAATTGATACTCTCCCAAGTGAATCTTATTAAATTTTTGGCATAATACTTGAAGAGATTTTTGAACTATTTAAGAAAATTCAAATAAACTCCTTTATTTATTATGTTCAATTAAATCACTAAATTTTTATTTGAGTAAAACAAGCACTTAGTACTAACAACTAATTAATTGTCATTAGTCAAAATGTCACTTATTATTTTATTACCATGTGAAGTAAATATGACTTAAACGTGAAAAGTAAAAAATGTCATATAATTATGTTATCATGTCATCTCTTCATGCATTACGACATATTAGAATGTCATATCAACCCCATGTAGTATGAAAAGATAAGTGATATTTTAACTAATAACAATTAATCAACTATTAGTCATAAGAGCTTATTTGGTTCAAAATAAAAAATTAAGAATTTGATTGAACATAATAAAAAAATAAGGGTTTATTTAAAATTTTCTAAATAGTTCAGAAGTTTTTATAGGTATTATGCTTAAATTTTTTTAATAAATTATAATAAAGTAGAATTTGATCTATGCATGAAACATTAAAGTTTATGAATTTTTATTATAAATGATTAATAATTGAAAATTATAAATAAAATTATTTTAAAGAAATAAGACGAAGGAGACAAAAAAATTAAAAAAAATCAGATTTCAATAATAAAAATTAATCATAGAAAGGACATTTTCATTCATATATTTTATATGAAACATGAAAATGTCTTTCCTCTCGATTAAAATACAAAATACAAAATGTAACTGTAAAAACCATCCCAAAAATAGAAGAAGTCAATAACAGGGGATGAAAGCCAACTCATTTGCCATGACTAGAATTGATCCAATCCAATGTTATTGCCAAATAAGAACAAGGCTACACAAAGGTAAGTCCAATCATT